ACGAACCCACATTCATAAAAAGATGGTAAATGTGATAAAAAGAAAAAAAAGACAATCCATTCAGGAAGAGCTCTGGAAAAGCTGAGGCTCACTCCCAGCAGCAGCTGAACTCCATTGTCACCACAGTCCATGTAACACAGGCTGGACACTTAGCCAGCTCCTGAACAAAACACGGCCAAATTCCCCAAACCTCCATTCTTCTTCTTGTTCCCTGTATTTTGGGTCACAGACCCCCTCCCAAGCCCTCCCTGCGGTGACAGGGTCGCTTGCCCCGGCCCTGGCGGCATTGCCGGCACTCACGCTGCGGTAGAGGCGGGCGGGATGCGGGAGCAGCAGCCGGTGCACCGTCTGCGCCGTGAGCAGCAGCACCACCAGGTGACTCTGCACCTCGCACAGGTGGATCCCGCCCGGCAGGAACGGGCAGCCCTGGATCCGCAGCCGCACAGCGTTGTTCAGCAGGTTCACGTCCAGGGACTCCTCCACCAGCTCCACCGTGTCCCCCGACGTGCTCCTGCGGGAACACAAGGGCAGACGTGAGGATGAGGAGGGTCTGAGAGGCAGGAGGGTCTCAGAAGGGTGAGAAGAGAGAGGTGTGGATGAGGAGGGTCTAAGAGAGGCAAGGCGGACGGGGGCGTGCACTCACCATCGCACCCAGCGATTCCTAGTGGCGGCCCCAAGCTGCGCGCTCTCTTGGTAGCAGAAGCCGCCGGCGCTGTCGCTGTAGCGCCCGGCGGGGAGCGGGGCGATGCCAGGGGGCACGAAGAGCAGTTCCTGCGGCGGTCGCGGCGGGGCCCGGCCGGCCGCGCTCAGCTCGAGGCAGCTCCGCGCCGCCAGAGCCGCCGCCATCTTGGGCCGCCGCGTTCCCGCCTCGACCGCGCGGGGCACGACGGGAAGGGGACGGAGCGGGCGGCCCCTGGCGACCGGGAGGACGGGGGCAGGAGAGGGCGGGGCGCCCCCTGGCGGCCGGGAGGACAGGGGGCAAAAGGGAGAAGGAGGGAGGAGAGGGAAGGGCTAGGGGCGGGAGGGTGGGAAGAGGGTCTGGGGAGAGGGATCTGGGATGGAGATGTGGGAAGGGCACTATGAGGAGAGGAGAACGGGGAGAAGGCATGGGGAGGGGCTACAGGGAGAGTGGAAGAAGAGGGGCTACAGGGAGAGTAGATATGGGGAGCAGGTAAGAGGGACTTGGGGAAGGGATTTGAGAAGGGTCTGTGAAATTTAGAGCAGGACATTAGGGGACAGGTCAGGAGGTCTGGTTTAGTGGAGCAATATGCCCTCAGCGGCACATGCCTTACCAGCTCCCAACACCCACCTGAGCCCATAACTTCATCCCAGGAAAGCAGCCACAGCCGCCTTCCTGGACATGCTCAACACACTGGACCCAGCCGCTGGCAGAGCAAATGTTCCCATACTGGTGAGGGCGGTGGGGACCCCAGCACCCCACGGATGCCTCACGTCCCCCCACAATACCACACAGTGCCAGTGCTGGGCCTGGCGAGGCTCCCGCTCTGCTGGGAACAATCCGGCCTTTGAGAGGGATCCAGTGCCAGCAGCACAAGGCGCCTGCCTGTAGAATGGGCCCATTCTGGTGGCAGGTGCCATGAGGGGCCAGGGGCTCCAGCTGGCCCCCAGCTTTATTGGGGGGGGGGATTGAAGCCCCCCGTATTCGTGTGGGGAGCTGGCACACAGTTGGATTTGGGGGCTCAAGTGCCATGGCAGTGCCAGGGCCGTGCAGCAGTCATGGAAGGGGCTGAGGTGGGATGGAGAGGCACTGGGACCTGGCCCCACCTGCGGGCACCCACCCCACCGTAACAACCTGCATCCATCCCCTGCCTGGTGGCAATGGGTCTCTGTGTCCCCGTCTGTGTCCGCTCGGGCAGGAATGGGGGTGTCCATGGCTGGGGCTGGACACCTTCGGGTGCCCGTGTCCCCTGAGAAGGGACCCCACGGGTGTGGACTCCCACCTGCCACGCTCGGTGTACCCCTGCACAGGATCAGGACCGTCCCGGGACTATCTCGGGACTGTGCCTGGGCAGTATTGGGACCACGCTAGAAGCAGGCCTAGTTCGGTACCGGACCAGTGCCAGGACCATGCCAGGACAATGCCGGAAGAGTACCTGAACCATACCTGGACTGTGCCGGGACCGTGTTAGGACTGTACCAAGATTGTACCGGGGCTATGCCTGGACCGGACCGGGACCGGGACAGTACCGGACCGTGCCCCGCGGTCACGCCCGGGCTCGCTGCGGTACCGTCCCGCTCCCATTCCGTGAGTCCCCGTTCCCGGGGCCGGGCGGGGCGGCCGCTGTCCCCGCCCCGGGGCGCTCCCGCCGCTTCCTGCGGGCACGGCCGGGACGGGGCGGGACGGGACGGGTCGGGGCGGCGGCGGTAGCGGTAGCGGAGCGCGGTGAGTCCGGCCCGGGCGGGAACGGGGCACCGCCGTGGGGTCCGCGGGAGGGGAACCGGCGGTCCCCGCCGGGCGGGAGGGGGCGGTCCCGAGGGTCTCCGGCAGGGGAGATCTCCCGGTGGGGCAGGATTCGGGAGTCCCGGTGCTGCAGGGGCCGTTGCATCCCGGTGAAGCGGGAGCCGAAGGTCCCGGTGGAGTTGGAGTCGTTGCATCCCAGTGGAGTGGGATCCCTGGGTCCCGATGGGGCGGGAGCCGTTGCATTCCCGCGCAGCAGGATCTGTGGGTCCCGGTGGAGCAGGATCCGTGGGTCCTGGTGGGGCAGGAGCCGTTGCATCCCGGTGGAGCAGGATCCACGGGCCCTGGTAAGGCAGGATTCGTGAGTCCAGGGATGCCCGGAGTGAGGCAGGAGCTGAGGGTCCCCACGAAGTGGGACTTGGGGATACTGGGGTCCCCGAGGGGCAGGGGACAGCAGGACCCTGGCGTGCTGGGAGACCCCCGGGACAGGCACCCACAGAAATTGGGGGTGGTCCTCAGGCCGAGCTGGGGGTGCAGGACAGACTGTGGGTGAGCCGGGGTCTCAGTGGGGAGTGGGGGTGTCCTGCGCCCCTCCTTCGGGATTAGGCGGCGCGACGCCATGGGCGCCGGGCACTAAGAGGCTTTGTCAGCCCCGCGGGTCCGTGCCGCCTTGTCCCGGGAATGCCGTGACACGGGGACCCCTGTGGAGCCGAGCCCCCCGAGTCCTCGCAGGCGGGAGCGCCGGCGCCCAGCCCGTGCCCGCGGGGCAGCGGCGGTGCCAGCCGGGGCCGGGAGCGACGGCCGCGGCAGCTGCGCTGGAACCGGCAGCGACCTCCCCGCTCCCAAGGCCGCTGGGATTCTGGAAAATGCCTGGAAATGGTGAACCGCCTGCCCTTATATGGCTCCGGCGGGCTGGCGCGTCGCGGCCCCTCTCCCGGCGTGCCGTGCCGTGCCGGGATCCTGGGAAAACGCCGTGGGCTGTGCCTGGCTCCCCAGCTCCCGCTCTGGAATGTGCAACGAGGCCGGCGATCCCACGGTGGGGAGAAAATCCCACCTCCCTTCCGGCGGCTCGGCACAACAAACCTGGCCCCTGTCTCAGTTTCCCCCACCGGGGAGTTTTGGGAACCCACCGGAGACCCCCCATTCGGCACTCGGGGGAGATCGCCCGTCCTCTGTGGCGGGGTTGGGCAGGGTCGGGGGCGTGAAGGTCAGAGCTAATCCCACCCGGAGCAGCCGGGAGCGGGAGGGCTCTGGGCGGCCGCGTGCCCACCGAGGTGATAACGGAGGAGTAAGAGGATCAACCCCCCCCCACCCCGATCACCGGGCCGGGATGACGGTGACCGATGGGCCGAGGCGAGTGGCCACCGTCCCGGTGACGTGACACCGGCGCCGTAATCCCGGTGCTCTGAGCGGATTAGGATGGCCGGGAGTGGCCTTCGGGGACGAACTGCGGTAGCCACAAATCCCCGCCCGGGTGTTAGGTGGGGGAGCTCCTGTCTGGTCCCCTTGTCTGGTCTTCTCTTGTCCCCTCTACAGGGTGGGATAGGGGTCGGACACTGCTGGGAGAGAGATGCTCGGGGTCTACTATCTCTGGTGTCACCGGCTGGGTGGCTCCCCCGGCGTGGAGGTGACGCCGGGACCGGGTGCCCCATGCCTGTAGGGGTGAGGAATTTGGGGGCTGGGGAAGCTGCTCCCCAAATCACCCAGATCCGGGGTGCCCAGAAGGTGCCCATGGCAGGTTCAGATGTGCCAGCACCTGGGGTCCTGGGCTGTGGCACCACTGAGGACATGGGTCCGAACCCCATTTACGATGCACCGCGGTGGCGTTTTGGGGGGCTCCTGGCGTGCTCGGGGAAGCCCCGGGGAGGGCGGTGGCTGGATGGCGGCCATGCGGCACGGTGGGTGTGGGGAAGCGCTGGCGGGAACCGGCCGGACCGGTTGGGTGCCGGCACCGGGGGTGCCGGGGGGCTCAGGCAGCCACGCCACCGGCGCAGCACGTGGCCCAGCTCAAGGTCACTGTCCCCAGGGCCACCCGCCGCGGTGACCGGGCTCAGTGGCCTCGACAGTCCCACACGCTTTGCCACTGGCCGCTGTTTTCTGGGTGTCCCAACTGTGTTAGTGGCACTGAACGGTTTCGGTGCCACGGGAGGATCCCGGTGGCACCGGTGGTCCGGAAGGGCGAGCCTGCGCTGAGCTCACCTGGAAGGTGTCCCGCGGGCGCGGCGATGACGCATGGCCCTGGTGGGTGGGGGCAGAGGCTCGCTCGTCCCACCTAGTCCCAGCACAGTCCCCGGGTCTGGGATGAGGAGGAGGGGCTGAACTCCCAAATCTCAGCCTTGGTGGGTGGGCTGTGCAGAGACCCCGTTGTGCTGTACCCAGGGATTTTTGGGTTGGAGGACGCTAGCACACCTTGCCATAGAGGGTTTGGCCTTCAGGACTCTTCATCAGGGTGGCCACCCATACTTGGGGGCTCTCTGCACCCCCTAACCCACCATTCTCCCCCCAGAGCCGCCCAGTTCCCCATTGGTGCCAGGGGATGCCGGGATGCCAGTGCCCGCGTGCCCGCAGCGCCCTGCCCTGAGCCCGGAGCCCGGCTGTGCCATGGAGGATCCGCCCAGCACCAGGACTGAGGCGTGGGCCGAGGGGCTCCATAATGCCAACAACAATGCATCCCCGGGGGGGTGGCCAGGTGCCCGCGGTGGGCACCCCCTGGCAGCTTTCGGGAGTCCCGGGGCCAAGCCCAGCTACCTGGACCGTGTGGTGCAGGAGATCGTGGAGTCAGAGCGCACCTACGCCCGTGACCTGCGCAGCATCGTGGAGGTGGGTGCCAGGGGCACGTGGGGGCACACCCTTTAGACACCGTTTAGGGTCTAGGGGTGCAATGGTGCCACCGTGGGTGCCTGGCAGGGTTACCTGGGCAAGATCATCGACGCGGAGGAGCCAGTGCTGCGGCCGGAGCAGGTCAGCGCGCTCTTCGGGAACATCGAGGACATCTACGAGCTCAGCAGGTGGGGGAGCAGGTGCCACTGGGACGTGACAGGGGTGTGTGGGGAGCTGTGGTCACCCTGTCCTCTCTGTGCCCCCCAGCACCCTCCTGCAAAACCTGGAGAGCTGTGCCAATGACCCCGTGGCTGTGGCTGTGTGCTTTGTCACCCGGGTAAGGGCGAGCAAACTGGGGGGCTCACGGAGCGCTCTGAGGACATCGGGGGGACACCGTGGTCACACCAGGCTCTTACTGTGTTCCCTTTACCTGCAGAGCCAGGAATTTGCCATCTACACCCAGTACTGCAATAACTACCCTAGGTGGGTATGGGGCACAGCTGAGCAGGGGGCACATGGGTGGGCAAGGGTGGGCAAGGATCTGAGCCCCCTCCCTGCCCTCAGCTCGGTGGCAGCACTGACCGAGTGCATGAGGAGCAAGGTCCAGGCACGGTTCCTCCGGGAATGCCAGGAGCGGCTGCGCCACGCGCTGCCCCTCGGAGCCTACCTGCTTAAGCCAGTCCAGAGGATCCTCAAGTACCACCTGCTCCTCCAGGTGAGTGCCTGGCACCTGGCACAGCATAGTGTGGGCACCTGCTGTGGTGTGGGTGCCTGGCACAGCCCGGGATGACATAGGGAGTGGCTATGGGCATCTGGCCTAGCCTGCGTAGCACGGGTGGCACAGGGACACGGCTTGGGTGCCTGGAGCAGTCCAGGCACCTGGCACGGCACATTCTCATGTCCTGATGCCATGTGCTGTGTCCAGGAGATTGCCAGGCACTTCGAGCACAAGGCGGGGGATGACTACGAGCTGGTGCTGGAGGCCATCGACACCATGACCTGCGTGGCCTGGTACATCAATGACATGAAGCGCAAGCACGAGCACGCCATCCGCCAGCAGGTGTGCACTGGGGGACACCAGGGAGACACCACAGGGGTGGCTGGTGGCACCAGATGACACGAGATGGGCACCGTGGCAGGGGTGCTGACACCACTTTTCTCCGTGTCCGTGCAGGAGATCCAGTCGCTGCTGCTGGGCTGGAAGGGTCCGGACCTGACAAGCTACGGGGAGCTGGTGCTGGAGGGCACATTTCGGGCACAGCGGGTGCGCCACGACCGTGCCCTTTTCCTCTTTGACAAGGCCCTGCTCATCACCAAGCGCCGCGGCGACCACTACGTCTACAAGAGCCACATTCCGGTGCGGGAGACTCTGAGGGTGACAGGGGTAGGGAGCCCACTGGGTGCCAGGGACTCCTGTGGATGCCCGGATGGATGAACAGGGTGGATGTCAGGAACCCCAGTGGGTGCTGGGGTTGGGGGAACTGGAGAGTGCTGGGAATGGAGGAGCCCAGTGGGTGCCAGGGACGCTGGTGGGTGCTGGGGTGGGAAGTTCCAGGGATGCTGATGCCTCTCCTGGCAGTGCTCCTCGCTGATGCTGATTGAGAGCACGCGGGACTCTCTGTGCTTCAGCCTGGCACACTACAAGCATGGCAAGCAGCAGCACAGCCTGCAGGTAAGGGGGCATGGGGTGGGGGGGCACCCTGGGGACACCCCTGGACCCCTTGCCCGACCCCACCACCTTTCCTGTGCCCCCCAGGCCAAGAGTGTGGAGGAGAAGCGCGTGTGGACTCACCATATCAAGCGGCTCATCCTGGAGAACCACCATGCCACCATCCCCCAAAAGGTGAGGGTGGTGGGGTGGGTACCTCAGTGTCACCAAGGACCCCCCGGCACAGCGAGGGGGGGCGGCTGTACCCCACCTTTGCCCCATTTCTCTCCATCCTCCCTCCACCCAGGCTAAGGAAGCCATCCTGGAGATGGACCTGTTCTGTAAGTGCCACCAGTGCCCTTCCATTCCCTCTCTGCCCTAATCTGTTCTGCCTGTTTCCCCTGGTGTCACTCTCTGTCCCCACAGACCCCCCACGCCTGCCTCGCTGCAGCCCTGAGCGCCTGAAGAAGAGCTGGTCCTGCCAGCCCCTGGGTGACGGTGCCACCGAGCCACTCCAGGGACGCCGGCAGTCTGGTGAGAGCTGTTCCTGCTGTCTCATGTATTCCCACCACGCCATCACCCCTTTCCCAGGGCCAAGCCGTGGCTGGGTTACACCAGTGCCCACAGGGAGGGTGGCACTGGGTGCTGATGGTGCCCCTGTCCCTGTTCCCACAGAGCCCTTCCAGCACCAGGGGCACACGGAGACGCTGCTGGAGCGGCTGCAGGGACATGAAGGGCGCAGGCAGTCGGGTGTGGACAATGGACGGGATCAGGGGGCTCGGGGTGCTGAGGAGTTGGGGGACACGGGGTTGATGCCACTGTCACCTCCCCTCCCCCCAGAGCCCACCAAGAACAACCTGTGGCACCTGAACGAGCAAGGTGAGCTGGCATGACCATGGCACTGGTGCAGCAGGCAGAGGGGTGGCTGGGCGCCGAGAGGGGAATTTTGGGTGCTCTCTTCACTAATCTCTGCTTTTCTCTATCCCGTCTGGCAGGGTTGAAGGTAAGGCCAGGTGTGGTAGGTTGGGGTGCCCAGTGCCTCCAGCCCTGGCACGGGGCACTGAGCCCAGCGCTCACCCCCACACAGAACACCGGCAGCGATGGGGCGCTCCTGGAAGTGGGGGAGCCACCCCAGCATCCCAAAGCCTGGGCAGCAGCTGAGGGCATGGTGGCGGAGGAAGAGGAGGAGGAGGAGGAGGAGGAAGAAGAGGCTTTGGGCAAGGACTGCCAGAAGGAGCTGCCGGGGGCCGGGGATCTGCTGTTGGAGCCCCAGGAGGAACAGGTGCCTACACCAGCCCTTCAAACCCCAGGGAGGGCATGCAGAGCACCCCATTTCTGGGGCACTCCCACATCACTCCTGGGGTACCCAAATTACTACCAGGACATCCCACACCACTCCAGGGCACCCCACGTTGCTCCCAGGGCCCCATGGCTTGGCTGGGATTTATCCTGCTCGAAGCATCTGGGTGCCCCCCAGCTCATGACTCCCCACATTTTTCTCGCCCAGGCCGGGGGACACCCATGGGTGCTGGAGGGACCCAAACGGCCAAGCAGCTGGGGGCCAGGGAGCTGTGAGAAGGTCAGTGCAACGCCCCGGCCCTCACCTGGCAGTGCTCAGGGATCCAGCACCCACCCCCCTAACAGCAGTGCTGGGGAGCACCCCAGGGTCCCCAAATCCCCGTCCCTGGTGGGGACCCTGGCGTTGCCCAGTGGGGACAGGGAACCGGAGCGCGCTGCGGAGGATTTGCAGGTGCTGAGCAGCGAGGAAGAGGAGGAGGAAGAGGAGGAGGGGGAAGGTGCCGCCAGCATCCTGCCACCCTCAGTGCTGGACCAGGCCAGCGTCATCGCGGAGCGGTTTGGTGGCGGCAGCAGCTTGTCTCGAAGGAGCAGCCTGGCCATGGAGGGGCCCCTGGGACGCACCCCCAGCCATGGTGGCAGCACCCTCAGCCTGGATGGGGGCCCCCCACTCGAATCTGGGGAGCCTGGGGGGTCCCGCAGTGCCATCCCCTCGCCCGAGCCCTTCACCAGAGCCCGCCGGGAATCGCTGCTCTCCAACCGGGACCGCCTGCTCCTCGACAAGATCAAGAGCTACTATGGCCATGCCGAGAACCGCGATGCCGGTTTTGGGGTGCGCCGCCGCGAGAGCCTCTCCTTCATCCCCAAGGGGCTGGTGCGGAGTTCCGTGTGCCGCCTCAATGGGCTGCCACGGCCCCCCGAGAGCCCTGAGCCCCCCACCCAGCCCGAGGCACCAGAGCCATGCCAGGAGAACGGGGCGCAAGCCCCCGAGCCGCTGCTCATTCTGGAGGAAGATGATGTGGGAACCACGGCGTCACCCCCGGGGCCATCCCCGCAGCTGCTGCTGACACCCCCTCACCTGGGCTCCAAGGTGTACCAGCTGGCACGGCAGTACAGCCTCCGCATCAAGAGCCGCCGTGCCGGCAGCCGCCGTCCCCCGCTGCTGCCGCAAGAGGACGGGGACCCCTCTCCCACAACCCCTTCGCTGGCTGTGCCGCGGGACGAGGCACTGGAGGCGTCCCCGTCCCCGCGTGCCCCCCGCAGCCCCTCCAGCCCCGTGGGCAGCGAGCACTTCGCCTGGCCCGACGTGCAGGAGCTCCGTGCCCGTTTCGGTGCCCCGCGGCCGCCGCCGGTGAGCCGAAGCCGCTCGGCGCCCGAGGGTCCCGGCCGCGGTGGGCGCCCAACCGGGAAGGAGCGGGGCGGCGGCCGGAGCCGCAGCGCCGAGGCCACCGGGGGCTCCGACACCCCAAACCCGGCACCAGCGCGGTACAGCAGTGACGGGGCGCTGTGGGTGGCGGCCGAAGCCCCTCTGGGTCCCGGGCAACGGGTGCTGGTGCTGGAGCGACTGCCGGAGCCCCCGGCCTACGTGCAGATCCGCTCGCCCACCACTCGGGAGAAGATCTGCCTGAAGGCGGTGGTGGAGCGCTGCAAAGCCTACCAGGCGTCCGAGGAGTACCGGCGGCGCTGCCCCGAGCCCCCCGGCAGCCCCGAGCCGCTGCGCCATGGCCTCGTCAGGGACCTGCGGCAGAAGTTTCAGACGCTCGACGCTGCCAGCTAGGGGCAGGGACAGGTAGAAGGGGTGGCCTGTGGACCCCCATGGGAAAGAGCACCCCGTGGACCCCCAACTTTCCTGGGAGAAGGGGCACCACATGGACCTCAAGTCTAGTTGGAAGAAGGGTCACCCTGTGGATCCTCAAACTGCCTGGGAGAAGGGGCACCGAATAGACTTGCAACTTATTTGGAAGAAGGGGCACCCCATGGCCTCCCCAACCGACCTGGCAGAAAGAGCACCCTGGGGACTCCCAACCTGCTCTGGACAAGGCACACCCCCATTCTCTCTGCCCACAGGAACGGGGCACCCCAAGAACCTCCCTCTACAAGCACCAGAGGCCCCCGGTGCCCTACAGGCACCCAGCACTGCACCCTGCTTGCTTTCACATCTTTATTAGAAAAAAAACCCCAAACTGAACCCAAAGTTCCTCTGTGGTCGCCCGCCCCCCCCAGGGTGTCTCGGCCCGGCTGTGGGGTTCAGGGGAGCCCCCCCCGCCCCGGCTGGGGGGAGCACGGGATGAGGGGTGCCAGCGAGGGACCCCAATGGGCTGACGCTCTTTGGTTGGTGCCCGCGGGGGCTGGGGGGTGCCCCCTCTGCACCCACGCGCTGTGGGGTGGGGGAAGGTTATGGCTTTGGGGGGCACCCACGCACCCCCCGTGCGGGTGCTGGGGGGGGTCCATGCACACCTGTAGGGCGCACATCTGTGCCGTGCGTGCGGAGGGGGGCCGGGGGTGCACCTGCATGCAGGGACACACGTGTGCAGACGTGTGCGTGCAGGGACACGTATGGGCACGGGGGGACACACACGCCTGGGGGGCACCTGCGGCTGCCTCCACGCAGGGGGTGCCTGAAGCGTGTAAATGTATGTATATATATAAATACAAATATATATATATACACTGTGCACACAGACACGTGTGCTCGTGGCAGGGGGGGATTGGGAGGGCTCCTGCCCACACGTGACCCCCGCGTGCCCCTCTAGACCTGGTGGCACCTGTACAGGCACCGTGCACGCGTGTCCTTACATACGCGTGGCCCCGCTGGCATGACGTGGGGTGTCATCCCCCCCCTCCCCGCCATCCAGGGGGGTTATTTCTTTTTTGGGAAGAAGCTGAAGCGTTTCTCCTTGTCCTTGCGAGGCAGGGGGGCTTCGGGAGGGGCCGGGGGTATGGGCAGGGGGAGGCTCTGCACCTTCCCGCGGCTGCCCCGACACTCCGTGATGGCCGCGCTCAGCCCCTGCAGCCAGGCCTGCAGCTCCTCCTGCGGGCACCGGGGGGGTGGTTGGAGGGGCTTCCCTGGCCCCTCACCACTGTCCCAGCCGACCTCAGGGCCCCCTGGGTGATGCTAGTTGCTCCAAGGCCTCTGCAGGCACCCGTGTCCCCTTGGGCACTGCCAGGCCCTCACTGTGTCCTCATGGCATCCCTGGCCATCCCCTGCCCGTCTGAGCATTGCTGGCCACTGCTGACCGCGTCCCCCGGCCATCCCTGTGTACCCCAGTCATTACTGGCCATCACCACGTGCCCTGGACAAGTACAACCACCTCATATACCCCTGGGCACCACTGGTGTCCCCATGGGAACAAACAGCCACCTTGTGTCCCTCTGGACCTCTCTGACCACCCGTGTCTCCTTGGGCACTGCTGCCCACCACCACATCCCCCAGCCACTCTGTGCCCCCCAAGGGGCCACCCCTCACCTCGTCCTTGCCATGGAACAGCCACTCGCTGCCATTGCTGAGCCTAGGGACAGAGCACAGACACCAGTGCCATGCATGCCCACTGTGCCACCCCTCATGGCGCCACGCCCTCACCTGAGCTTGAAGACGTGTTTCTTCTTCTTATAGCCCGCGGGCACCTCGCAGCGGGCATCCCACAGCCCCAGGGGCTCCTCGCCCTGGCACGGCAGCCCCAGCGCGCGGCTCTTGGCATCCTTGAAGAAGGCGAGCTGGCCACCCCGCAGGACGCAGTACCGTGTGCTCCACGACCTGCACCAGCACCGTGTCACCCTGGGGACACCGCCCCGCCGGGGACACCGCGCTTGCCGCCACGGCTGCCGTGCCTACCGGTTGGATGCGCGCTTGGTGGCCGCCTCCAGGTCGTGCTTGCGGCCGAGGTAGCCCTCCAGCTGGACGCTGCTGACACGGGCGGGCAACGTGGCCGGCTCCTCTGGCTCCTCCCGCGGTGGCCGTGGGGTTGGTGACACCAGCTCCTCGTCACCTGTCCTCGGTGCCAGCTGTTGCGAGGCAACAGCGTGGTTATGCTGCAGTGTCACCCACCCACTGCCACTGATGGACCCTCCCGTGGTGGCACTGAGCACATGGATTGCTGTCACCAGTGGGTCATGGACCTCAGTCTGGTGGCCTGCAGGTGGGTCACCCCCAGGTCTCCATACCAGTGACCTCACCAGCTCTGGAATGTGGGAACTGGTGTCTACTGGGAGGACTTCAGTGAGTGGCAGGATGCCAATGACCCCACCAGTTCTGACAGGTGGGAACTGGTGACTGCTGGCAGGACCGCTCAGCATCCCCGTCCCAGATGTGATCCCCCAGTGAGTGTCTGGGATCCTGCAGTGAGTCCAGCCCTGGGACCCTCTGTGCAGTGCCAGTGACCCTGCCAGATCCAGTGTTGTGGGAACTGATGGTTATTGGGAAAACCCCAGTGAACATTTGGGACATGGTCCAGCCCAGGGATTCAGTGTGGTGTCAACGTGTGTGTGTGTCTAGGTGTCCAGCTCCAGTGAACAGGAATTGGTGGCTATTGGGAGGATCCCAGTGAGTGGCTGGGACATGGTCCACCCCTAGGACCTCCAGAACTTGGTGCCAGTGACCCCACCAGCTCCAGTACGTGAGAACTGGTGGGTGCTGGGAAGACCTCAGCAATCAGCTGGGACCCTCAGCACAGTGCCAGTGAAGCCCCCAGCTCCAGTACACAAAACCTGGTGGCTACTGGAGGACCACAGTGAGCGCCTGGGACATGGGCCAGCCCTGGCACCCCCCCAGTCTCAGTGCCAGTGTCTTCTCAGATTTGGGGTGATGAGGTTGAACCAAGCTAGATGAGCAGTCCTGGGAGTGACCTCAGTGTTGTCACCAGCCCAATGGGAGGTCTGGTTGGGGACTGTGGCATCAGTGCTATCATCTCAAGGCATCAGTGGTTCCTGACAAAGGGGATACCCATCCAGCTGGGTGCCACAGGAGAGGCTTGGCCAGAGCTCCTGTCCTCAAGGAGCCAGGAGATGCCCATGTGCCCAAGCAGGCAGTGATCTGCCTGTGATTTTTCCCAGGGAGGCAGGAGATGTCCGAGGTAGAGGAGGCTCCTGTCCCCAGGAAGGGAAGAGTGTCTTTGTTCCCGAGCAGGCAAGTTTAGCACCCTGTCCCCAAGGAGCCAGAAGATTTCCACGTCCCCAAAAACACAGAGCAGGACCCTGTCCCCAAGGAGATGTTCTTGTCCCCAAGTAGGTTCTCAAGGATCTTGTCCCCACACAGGGGAAGGTGATCTGGTCCCCAGGAATCCAGAGGATGGCCATGTTCCCGAGCAGGCTGGCAGTAAGCAGAGAGCACTCCTGTCCCCAAGCAGTTGAAAGTGGCCATGTCCCAGAGCAGGCAGAGAGGATCCTGTTCCTGAGTAGCCAGAAGATGCGCGTGTCCCTGCTGGCAGAAATGATCTTGCCCCAAGGAGCCAGAAGATGCCCATGTCCCCAAGCAGGCAGAAGAAGCAGAAGGGGTTCCTGTCCCCAAGGAGCCAGAGGATGCCTATCTCCCTGAGCAGGCTGGCAGTAAGCAGAGAGGGCTATTGTCCCCAAGCTGATGAAAGTGGTCATGTCCCCGAGCAGGCAGATGGGTACACTCTCCCTCAGTAGCCAGAAGATCCCCACATTCCTTATCAGGCACAAATGAGCTTGTTCCCCTGTAGGCACTCAAGGATGCTGTCCCCGGGCAGGGGAGAGTGATCTGGTCCCTGAGGAGCCAGGAGATGCCCATGTCCCCAGGCAGGCAGAAGAGGCAGAAAAGGTTCCTGTCCCCAAGCAGGCAGAGCCACAGAGCCATCGTGTCCCTGCGCAGGCAGAGCACGTGGGAGGAGCAGAGAGCTGGCAGTGAGCACAGGGTCTGGCACACGGTGACAATGCCCTGTGGGCAATAATTCCTGCCTCGAAGGGCGACAATGCTGCAGGGTGTAACGATGCCCCACAGGGTGCTGATGCCTTGTACAGTGACAGACACAGTCCCACAGGTGATGATGCCCCACAGGGTGACAGTGCCCCATGGGGTAACAATGCTCCATACAGTCTCTTGGGATGATGGTGCTCCACAGGGTGATAATGACCCACAGGGTGAAAATTCCCTGCAGAGTGCCAATGTCCTGCACGGTTCCAATGATGTCCCACAGGGTGACAATGCCCCACAGGGTGACGAAGCCGAAGCCCCGCAGAGTGCAGATGTCCCATACAGCAATGATGTCCCTTGGGGTGGCCCCAGAGCAGACACTCCAACTCTGGCTGCTGCACGGATCCCAGACACACACATACACCATGGGTGCCACCCCCCGTGTCACCTCAGGAGCTGGGGCAAAGGGGACCTGCAGTACCCCTCTGCCCGTCTGGCCTTTTTGGGGTAATTCAACATTTATTCAACACAAGGCAAGGACAAGGTAAGGATTGGGAATGCAGGGATCTGTCAACACAATGAGGTCATAGTCACAGGGAGTGCCAGGAGCTGTGGGACATGCAGGGACACATTTTTGCATGCAGGGACAACTTTTTGCATGCGGTGACAACTTTTTGCATGCAGGGACACCTTTTTGCATGCAGCGACAACTTTTTGGTCATTGGGGAAGGTAAAAGCTAAACTCAAGAACTGACCGGCTCTGGTCCATCTGTAGTAGGCAACGAAGTGTCCTGTGTGCTCACATCCTTCTTCTCCTCCTCTTCCTCCTCCTCGGACCTACACAGGGAGACAGCCAGTCAGCATCCCCATCCTAGACATGATCCTACAGGGACGGGGCTGGCTGCTGCTCTCCTGTCCTCCTTGAGGGATGAAAGCCCTGTCAGGGTGAGGCTTGACCTTCATCTCTCCTCTTCATCAGCATCAATTTATTGCTCGGAAAAGGCAAACGGCTAAAAAGTCCCTTAATGCTTAAAAACCTTAATGGTTAGAGAGGAGAGATGTGGGAACAGTGTCCCTGGTCACATGGGATGAGGATGGCATCCCTTACCCGGCCTCCAGCTCCCCATCCAGATCCAGGCAGTAGTCGGGAGCTTCAGAGCGCGTCGTCCCGTCCCGCACCAGCCCCTCACGCAGAGACCGCCCGCCCAGGAGCTCCAGCTGCCAGGCAAGGAATGAAGGTGGTAAGGGGGGAGACTGTGGCAGGGCAGGTAGAGGCCTCATCCCGAGCCTTTCTCACCGTTGTCAGCTTCCTGAGGGCA